CCCGGTTCTGCCAACGCCTAGCGACACCCTCTCCCTGTCTCTTCGGAAGAGCCAGGAGCCGGGGGTGGGGGAGGGTCGGACCGGCATCAGAACTCTCTCGGCCCGGAGCGCGCCCCTCCCCTCCCCTCGGACAGCTGCCAGTCGATTCTCTGTGTGCGAGTGTTTCTATGTTGTTAGTTTATTTGTTCATTAGATTCCACACATGCGTGAGATCCTATGGCACTTGCCTTTCTCTGACGGGCTTATTTTACTGAACACAATGCTCTCCAGGTTAGGGGGGCCTTGGAAATGCTACTTAACACCCAGCGGTGTTAAGATTTGTGTTCATTTTCCAGGCGAGGAATCTGGGTGGCAAAGTGTTTTTGCTCAGAAAACACAGCTAACAGGCCACAGAATTCCCTCTTTTTCTGATTTCTCAGGGGCCTCTGGGACACCCAGCCAGTCCCCCACAGAAGCACCTTCCTCTACAACACGTAAGTCCTGAGGGGTTCACCCTGGTGTCTGAGGTCCAAGGCACATGGACCCATTCTTTTTCATCCTCACCTGAGGATATGTCTATTGATTTTTACAGGGAGGGAGGGTGAGAGAGAGAAACATTGATTGGTTGCCCTCCTATATATGCCCTGACCAGGGATCCAACCCATAACTTAGGCAGGTGTCCTGACTGGGAATCAAACTTACTTTTTGGTGCATGGGATGATGCTCCAACCAACTGAGCCACACCAGCCAGGGCCATTGGTCGATTCTTGTATGTGCCCCGACTGGGGACCAAACCTACAATCTTGGAGTATCAGGATGATGCTCTAACCAACTGAGCCACCCGGCCAGGGCCATTACTAGTTTAATTTTCACATTGACGGAGTAGAGGAGATGGCCCCATCCCTTTACTTTCCCCTTAAAAAACCCCAAGACTTTATTGTTGAAAGTATTACAGATGTCCCCCCTACCCCCATTGACCCCTTCTAGCCCACATCTGCCCTTGCCCCAGGCCTTCACCACACTACTGTCTACTATGTCCATGGGTGGTGCATATATGCATACAAGGTCTTTGGTTAATTTCTTCCCATCCACCCACTCACCTTCCCTCTGAGATTCGATAGTCTTTTTCATGCTTCTCTGTTCTTCCTTTTTAAAATATTATTTTTATCCCAGGGCCTTCTAGGGATACCACCACCTTTTCAGGGGGGCCAGGCTCTACAACGGGTAAGTGGTTCTCTCTGGACTTTCTTTCTCCTCACCTGTGTCTTTTTTCTGATTTTTTTAGTCTTTTTTGTTGAAAGTATTACATATGTCCTCTTCCTCCCCCCTCCCCCATCTATCCCCTCCAGCCCACCCAATTCCACCCCAGGCCCTCACCACCCACTGTCTGTGTCCATGGGTCATGCATATATTAATAGAAGGTCCTTGGTTGATCACCTCCCACCCACCGAGCCGCCCACACCTTCCCTCCGAGATTCCGCACTCTGTTCCCTGCTTCCATGTCTCTGGGTCCCCTCTGTTCATCAGTTTATTTTGTTACTTAGATTCCACATGTGAGTGAGATTGTGACACTTGTCTTTCTCTGACTGACTTATTTCACTCAGCATGATACTCTCCAGGCCCCTCCATGCTGTCTCAAAGGGTAAGAGATCCTTCTCTTTTACTGCTGCACAGCATTCCATGGGATAAATGTCCCACAGCTTTTTATCCACTCGTCTGCTGATGGGCCCTTGGGCTGTTTTCAGATCTTAGCTATTGTGAATTGTGCTGCTATGAACACAGGGGTGCAAACATCCTTTCTGAGTGGTGCTTCGGGTCTCTTAGCCTTTGTGTGTTCTCTCTGTCTCTCTGTTGTTAAGACCCATCGGGTCATTTCTCTGGAGATACCACAGTGGACTAGGAAGCAGCTCTCAGCGGTTCGTTTACTCCTAAGGCTCCCTTCGTGGAAACGAGTCTCGCTTCTAATTTTCTCGTTGACTTTGTGTTGCTCAGAGAAGTACTGAAGCGAAGTGTTCTTGGGACTGGCATCTACCAAGAAATCTAATGTGTTTATTTATCTCAAACTCTTACTCATAGCCATCCGCCCCCACGAAGCACCTTGGCCTCTGACCTTCAGTAGACTCACCATGACTCCCACCTCTTCCTCTGCAGTGTGAGCTACCACAACTATTTTCTGGGAAACTCCCTGTACTGACTCTCAGATGAGAGCCTTTGGCAGCGCCCGCCTCTTCCCTCAGGCCCGCCTGGGGTGCCTGGCCGTCAGAGACCCCCTGGGAGTTTAGTGACCCTCAGGCTCCCGGCCGCCCCGGCAGAGCTGGGTTGGACAGTGTGGAGTGGGCCCCGGGAGCTCGGTCCCGGGGTCGGGGACGGTGAGGGGTCCGGAGCTGCTCCACACCCGCCCAGGGGGCTAAGCTCCGCGTGGTCCACTCCAGCCCTGGCTGGATCAGGGGCGCAGGCTGAGGCCCCGGCCGAGCAGGCGGAGAGCGAGCTGATGCTATGACGGCATTTCTGCAGAGCAGGGAGCAGGGCGCAGGGTTCCCCGAGGCTTCCCGTGCTCTCCATGAAGCGATCGTCTGCAAAGGGTGATGCTTCCCTTCCTGTGTGCATCCTCTACTCCGAAAGCGGATCAGACCGCGGGGCGCCCTCAGAGAGAAAGGGCCCGCCACACTCAGCCTTGTGTAGTCTGGGAGAGCCCATCTGTCAGGAGGCGACTGCCCGCTCTCGTGCCTGCCTTCCGGCCCAGGCAGGCTTTCGGACGGCGTGGGCAGCTGGAGGTCTGCGTGGCCTCACAGCTGGGTGCCGGCTGCGTCTTCCTGGGGGTCAGAGGTGCTGACAGGTCCACGCAGAGCTGCCCCCTCTGCTACTATTCTAGAAGATTTCACCATCAGCAAAAGCAAGTAATGTATGATTGTTTTTAAAATATATTTTTACTGATTTCAGAGAGGAAGGGAGAGGGGAGAGAGAGAAACACCAATGATGAGAGAGAATCATTGACTGGCTGCCTCCTGCACGCAACCCGGGCATGTGCCCTTGACCGGAATTGAACCTGGGGCCCTTCAGTCAGCAGTCCAACACTCTATCCACTGAGCCAAACCGGCCAGGGCAAGGAAGTGACTTCCTGAATATTATTACTATGGGTCAGCAACCATACCACGCCCCCTTCTGCACACGCATCTCATTGATCTTCACAGCCCCCTGGGAAGTGAACATTTATGCCTCCGTTTGACACAGGTGAGGACTGAACCTGCTGTTGCCTGAAGTCACAACGTCACTGTCCCCTGGTCTCACACCGAGGACGGACGCGGGTCTGCAGGTGGCCGAGACGTAGGAGGGCTGCGGGCTGAGATCCGCGTCTGCCTGGCAGGACACTGAGTCGAAAGACTAGTTGGAAGCAAGGCTAACATCTGGGGAGGCCGTTAACAAACCAATGTTTCTAATTTTTTAAAATTAAGAACTTACTTGTTTAGAGCAGTTTTAGTTTCACAGCAAAATTGAGGAAAAGAGATTTCCCATGTCCCCCTGGTCCCCACACATGCGTGGCCCCCTCATTGTCAACATCCCCTCCCCCCAAATGGTTCATTTGCTACAAACGAGGAGCCTACATTGAGGCATCATTATCCCCCAACATCCAGAGCTCCCCTTAGGGGGTTTAGATAACTGTATGAGGGTGTGCACCCCAAATCACATCACACGGGTGCTTTCTCTGCCCTAAAACTCCTGCGCCCGCTTCATTCCTTCCCAACCCCTTGGGGCTAGTTTTGAGGAAGGAGATACCTGTCCTTTTATTGTTATTACATGTGTCATTTTTTATTACATAACTATTTCTGTTGCAAAAAATTAGAATGGTATGACATTGCTGATATCTGTTTTTGACTTACACACATGGCAATTTCATAGGATTCGATCTAACACTAAGACAAAACTGGAAAGTCTCTCTTTATCCCTACCCCTACCTCACTCCCACACAATTTGGGGCACACAGTTAATTTTAGAACATTTTCATCACCTCAAATAACAACCATACCCCATACCCTTTAGCT